ATTAAATTGCAAGAAAGTGCGAAAACCCCAAATTTGCAAGAAGTTAAGACTACACGAAAAGTAAATGACAGGAAATCGAAATGTGCGAGAAATGTAAATTGCTAAAACCCATTAAGATTGCACAAAAAGTAAATAACAGGAAATCGAAATGTGCGAGAAATGTAAATTGCTAAAACCCATTAAGATTGCACAAAAAGTAAATAACAGAAAATCGAAATGTGCGAGAAATGTAAATTGCTAAAACCCATTAAGATTGCACAAAAAGTAAATAACAGAAAATCGAAATGTGCGAGAAATGTAAATTGCTAAAACCCATTAAGATTGCACAAAAAGTAAATAACAGAAAATCGAAATGTGCGAGAAATGTAAATTGCTAAAACCCATTAAGATTGCACAAAAAGTAAATAACAGGAAATCGAAATGTGCGAGAAATGTAAATTGCTAAAACCCATTAAGATTGCACAAAAAGTAAATAACAGAAAATCGAAATGTGCGAGAAATGTAAATTGCTAAAACCCATTAAGATTGCACAAAAAGTAAATAACAGAAAATCGAAATGTGCGAGAAATGTAAATTGCTAAAACCCATTAAGATTGCACAAAAAGTAAATAACAGGAAATCGAAATGTGCGAGAAATGTAAATTGCTAAATTAAAATGGCTCGAAAGTAAATTACCAAGGAAAATACAGAAAGCGATAAATGTACTCAGTGAGCAAGGAAATCCAGATTGCCAGAAACTTCATGGTGTTCGTCGTTTCTCCGGTAGACTTTTCACTACTGATTCTGTTCTCTGCCAATTTCTGCTCCCCTGTTCCTTCCTTCTTTGCTCTATTTATAGGGCATCTTTTAAGCCTTCCAAGAGCAGTTAACACGACTGTTACCACGTTCTACGTGCGTATGGCAGTTTTCCTTCTATTGTTTCCCCACGTTCCCATGATTTTTGGCTCTTCCATAACTTAGAAACTGCTTTCCATGCGTGCGTTTTGACTATTTTCCTTCAAGGTTTAGCTGGAGTTTCGATATCTATGTAAACGAGCCTTCCCTTAGCTTTTGATCTAATCGAGAACTTTGTGTACTTGCCATCGATTCTTTTTAACCTTAACTTCAACTTTCTTGGTTGGTTCCATACCTTTTCGACTCTACCTTTCGATTGTACTTGCTACGTTCTTTATAATTGATCATCGAAAAGATCTTCATACATTTCGTTCCTCGAATTTCTTTCGTTCGTTTATTGATCATATTTCTGGATTTCATACTAACACATAGTCTAAGTTTATTTATTGTTTGTTTCAAACGTTGAAGAGAACTAAGATTATTAGAATTGGGCATTCATACATATAACATATACAATGTATGAAACCAAAAGTTCACGACAAGGCAAAGAAGACTTCCATTAATATCCGTGTTGTTAAGCTTTACGCAAACAAATTCTAATGACTTCAGCAGCCTACTTCAATGTTCACTTCGTCCAAAGTTAGTGAGACAAGTATTTCTTGGAACAATCATTGGTCGTTATCACATGCACTAGTCATCAGTCCTTGGCTTGTCTTTTGCGTAGAGTTGTGTGTAAAGGGTAAAGGAAAAAGCAATTTCACACATAATACCGAAAAGTCCACCATACCTTTTGGACTAGTGGTGTAGAAAGGGTCAATAAAGTCTGTGCCGTGAGGCTTAATGAAAAAGTTTAAAGTTGTATTTGGATTCCGGGAGGATTCTAGCAGTGGATTTGATTTGATGTGATTTAAAGTAAACGGTAGACTGACGGAAAAATAATATACTTAAAAATAATTATAGAGAATTTATTATAATTAATATAATTGATAGAAATAAATATAAAAAAATTAAATAATAATTTTTTAATATAATCATGATGTATAAAATAAGAAAAAAATAATTATTATAATATAATTAAATATAAGAATGATAATTAATTTATATAGTAATTATAAAATATTTTTTGTTGTAGATTAAATTATATATTTTAAATTTTTTATATTTTAAATGAATATTTAATAAAATAAAATTGTATTATTTTAATAATAATTTATAAATTATTGTATATTTTCTTAATTTTTTATTTCACATTAAATATAATAATTAAATAATATTAAAATAAAATAATTAAATATTATTGAAATAATAATAATATTTTAATTTATAAGAAATATTAATTATAGTCATCTAAATAAATAAACTATATATTCATAAGTATCTTGTTACATTCATCTAATAAAAAAATAAAATAAAAAATAAACATAGTATAATAATCAATAAGTAAAAGTATAATCATCAATATGATAGATATATTTTATATATTTTATGACAATTAAGACGAGCCACTACTACTTGTGTATATTAATAAGTACCTAATTTAAATCTTTAGTAAGAAAAATGATTAATGCAAGTTCCTCTAGGTCTTTTTTTATTTATTTTGTAAATCATGCATTTGACTTTTGAGTCTTGATCATGATAACATAATTCAAATTCTTGAAATAGTTGACTTATGTATATAAAAATATTTTAGTTTAATTAATTAAAAATATTTGTTTTTTGGTAAGAGGAGGATTAATGCAAGCTCCTTAAAGTTTTTTTTTGTTTTTTTGTTTTTTTACTCTGTGACTCATGTATTTATCTTTTAGGTCTTAATTATAAAAAATATAATTCAAATCCTTACAATATTTGATTTATGTACATAAAAATATTTTAATTTTAATTAATTATATCACAATGATAATAATAAATTTCTCGTTAAAATTTAATATTGTATTAATTTGGTATGATTTAAATAAATAATTATACTTTAACTTAAAATTAATTTAATTAACAAAAAAATTATACCCTCAATTCATTAACTTTTAACATATAAATAATAACCTAAATTCTATTTTTATATACTATTAATTATATAATTTAACTACTGATTAGGAAATAATTATATTTTATATACTGTTGATTTAATTATTTAACTATTCACCTAAATAACTTCTAAAAATTGCGGACGGTAATTATATAGTATCATTGAGTTTTTTTTTTTTTTTTATCTTCATACCTACCTAAACATACATAGCTTATTTTTCATACTTATTGGTCACAGTTTTTTTTGTTCATATTTAACTTAATATACATGTCTAAAATCAACAAATATTATCTCAAATATTCTTCCACATTTGTATTCCCTACTCTATTACATGCAAAAAGTCATAATGCATTCATTAAAAATATGTTGCCTCTACAATCTGTGTAACAATTTTAGCAACCATCAACACAAATAATGCAAAAAATGATGTAGGAATCATATTTAGAGGCCATATAATCGATTATGCAACCTATCATAATTAAGTACACTTTGTAGTTTATATCTACCACATAGTCACACAGAAAGACTTTCGATACAAAAATCATTTTAACCCACTACCTATCAACCTTCGATTCTGATATCACTTGTTGGATCTTTCGAGGAGATTTATAGTAGACAAACACAACTAATGAGACAAGAGCTTAACTCACATAAAGATTGTCACCACTTTCAACAAAAAAACCTTAAGATATTATGTTATGTGTCATACTTCTTTATATGTTGCTTAACTTTTTCATTCTTCTTACTTAATGTGGGACTTAAAATCACATTTATATTTTATAACAAATTCAACAACAAATATATGTTAAAATTTACATGTTAAATAACTATAAGAAACAAAAAGTTACATAACAAGAACAATAATATAACTTACTCAATGAAGTGGTGCAAACATTTTCTTCTTTGTCATTAAAACTAGAAAATAGATACTGAGAACGAAGGATGAATGAAAAAATAATGTATGTCGTTTCTTCTAAACAATTGTAAAAACAACATGATAAGCTAACAACAAATACATGACACAAGCGAAACAACAAACTAAAACAATGAAACGAATAAAGATAAAATAATCACTAGAATAAGTGGATAAAGAAGATTAAAACACTCATTACAAATAAACGGAAGATGATAAATGAAAATAAAAAAAGAATGAAACTATAATTTTTACTTCCAAGAATAACTATATTTATGAACAAATAAAAAATAATTCACAAGATATTATTTAAAATACCGATCCATTATTATTTACCTGATAATCCTCAATGTCATACTATCAACTATAATTATTTTTTAACATATCTCAGTACATGTCTCAACTCATTATTCTTACAAATATTTCACAAGATAATGTATAATTCTAAAAAACATAAAAAATGAATAAATATACGATCATTTTACCATGATTCTATGGATTTCTTAGTTTAGCAGAATGGGATATACTTTTGCCCACTCATTTCACCCTCAAATCCCCTCCCTCGTTTAACAGATATACCGAAAAAGTTTGACATGCGTGAAACCTTTGACTTTGGTAGATTCAAGAGAAATCGATAACTATTCCGAGCTTTATAGGTTAAAAAATTGCTTGTTTAAGATTATGAAACATCTCTTAGCTTTGAGTTTTGTAAATTTCCATCGTGGTTAAAAGATTATTTAAACTGCTGAAACTGTATTTTGATTTACTTAGAGCTGTCTATATCATCATTTCATGAATTATATATTTCATAATATTATGGACAGTATAAAAAATCATACTCTTCAATGATTTTTTAATTGGAGCATTTTTTTAAAAACTTATTATTAGCCTAATTTAAAAAAAAAAATAAAGACTCTAAAAATTTGAGATAATAAACCCTAAAATCAAAGCATCATGGTGCCAAGGTTCATTTATCTATTTTTTTTTCTCTGATTTTGTTCACTTTTTTACTGTCTCCACAAGTAGGTCTTTCTCTGCCAGGATCGCAGGGATAAGATACAGTACAACAATAAGTGGTAGTCAAATACGACACCTAAGAACAATTGATTTTCGTTTTTTTTTTTTTTTTTTTTAAATGAAGAATTGAAAATATCTTCTTCGTCTATCAATTCCGTGGTTTAAGGCAAATAGGCTGAATAGAGCGTTTCAAAAATTAAATCCAAAGCAACGATGAACAGAGGAACAATACGAATACGCTTTATCGCCATTCTTCTATTTCTAGAAACTTCCGCCACCGCGCTCATTCCCGATTGTCCTGCTTCCTCCTGCGGCAACATTCCCAACATTCGTTACCCCTTTCGACTCAGCAGTGACCCTTCTCACTGCGGCGACAAGCGGTACCAATTGTATTGCGAGAACAACGCAACTTTCTTGACTCTGTTTTCGGGCAAATACAGAGTCCATGAAATCGATTACAACAGATACAAAATCCGAGTGAGTGATGCGGAGGACGGTACGTGCTCCTTCATGCCTCGTTATTTCTTGTATTATGGCAATTTCAGTAACGCCATTCTGGGCCCTGGAACGGATCCGCTGAAATTGGACCCATTTTCTCAACCGTCGATAGCTTATTTCAACTGTTCCGATCCAATCACCGACGATCCCAGATATGTGGCGGTGGAAGGCACTGGTTGTGACCACAGAGGGAACGTTTACGCTGTTGTTAAGGATTCGGGAAATGGTTTTGGTGTGGAGGATATCAAGGTTGGGTGCGAACTGCAGGTGGCTACTTTTGGTGGTGTCGGAGACCACAGGTCGAAGAAAGGAGTTTCGTACGGTGAAATAAAAAACATGGTTTGGCAGGGATTTAGGTTGTCTTGGTTGTATCTTATTTGTGAAGATCGATGCGGAAAGGGAATAGATTGCAGGGTTGTGAATGAATCCACGGGGGAAGTCCAGTGTGACCAGTATGGCTGCAGTTATGTCTACGACGAACCCAACAACAGGGTCACATACCAGTGCAGCAGCAGCGTCGGTAATTAGGCGTTTCATTCACTCCTTTATATTTTATATTAAATAATAATTAATAGTGTAAAAATATAACTTTTAAAAATTTAATAAAAAATATTTTTTTATTATGTCAATTTATTATTAATGAAATATAATATAAAAAAAAAGTGAAAAAGTTTATTTACGTCCTACTTTTATCTAAGTTCTTACAAAATTCCTTATATAAATATTTTTTTAGGTGGCATTGGACGAAAAATATTTTACGCTGTAGGTAAGGATTGTCTCCTTGTTTCTTCTTTTATTCGGTTATTTTCTTTCATATATTTATACATAATCCAATACTCTATTTCCTCGTTCCTTAAATTGTAGTGTTTGTGTTTTTTTTTATCTTTTCTGTTTGTTGACATCACAAAACTTTTTCTTACAGTTCTATTTTCGATTGGTGCTTATCGAGGTAATTTTTTATTTCCTAGCATTTATTTATCTTCGTCTTTATAATAATGATCCCATTTATCATATAACTTAATCTAAATAAAGTATTTAAAACATAGGAATTAAAATAGGAACTACAAGGTGTTGGAATTTTATCCTTCACCTCTCATAATAAAAAGAAATCAAGAATGAACCTAAGAACATGAATTAAGATTAAGGGTAGGAAATGTGTTTTCTAATTTAAAAAGTGTTAATGGATGGAATAGATAGAATAAAAAAAGATATAGAATTCATTAACTTATTTTTCTCACTCATTTGGATTTTTAAAAATCATGTATTGAAATTGTTTGAGATAAAGTTCTATTAATTATTTTTGTTTGTCCAACTCATTTGGATCATAAAATGTGGCATTTCGAAAGAGTTTTCTAAAAATTGCTTAAAATTTTTGTATTTCTATCTAATAATATATTTCTAGGAAGTTCATATAATTTTACTACTCTTTTTAATAGATTAATATTCATCAACTTTGTGACAAGAATAAAATGGATACTTTAGAAAAGTGATTCTGTTCCACAAAAAATGAATCCTTGCCATTATTTGTCATTGGAGTATAAATTCATTGAAATATCCGTCCAAGAAATGTTAGGAATGGGAAGAAATATATACAATGAGATATAACTTTGGATTTAACCTTTCTCCAAATAACACACTTTCCACAAAACCTTTGAAGGACATGGTTAAGATGAGGCCAAAATAAACATTCATGCATAATTTTTAAAGTTTTTCATCTCCAATGGGTCTATTTTATAAACAACTTTCCAAGGATCCTTCTGGAACACAAAATTAATTGCTTCTAAAAAGAAACCTGTAAAAAATCCTTTCTATGATCCATTAGAGCATTCATGAAAAATTGAAGAGAAATTACAATTTATTTATACTATCAAAACCTATAATTTTTGTTTTAAGCATAGCCAACAAGGTATTCCTTCCAGAAAGAACATCAACTACTGTTTTTCATTGCTTATGTTTTATCATATAATAAAATTGTTCAATAAAATTCACCAATTTCGAATATCTTTTGTTAAACTTTACCTAGTTTATCAAATGTTTAAGAGTTACATGATTATTATAAATAAAAAATTTCTTAACAAAAAGATAATATTTCCACATTTATTAAGATTTAACAAGATTCTTTTTAATATTTCACTAAAATATGTTAACAAATAGCATCTAGAGGGGGTGAATAGATGCACAAATTAAAATAGATGTCAAATTAAAAATTTATTTGTGAGTCAATAATTTATTTGAATACAGATAAAGCGGAAACGATAATATAATCAGGAAAAGAGAAAGAGATAAGGGAAAGAGAAAAACACACAGAGATTTATACTGGTTCATGTATAGCCAACCCTATATCCAGTTCCCAGTCAATTCTTAACACAAGAGTGACTCCCAATTCACTATATTTCAAATTCAGTTTACAAATTACAATCAACTCAGCAGAAGAATCAGTAAAAAGTAAACTAATTAAAAAGACAATCATCTCTTTAGAAACTTACTAAGGATGAACACCTTTCTAGAATCCCACTAGGGATGAACATCTCCTCTGAACAAATCAAAGGATGAAAAACACCTCCTTAAAATTCTACTAAGGATGAACACCTCCCTAGAATCACACTAGGGATGAACACCTCCTTTGAACAAATCAAAGGATGAAAACACCTCCTTAGAATCTCATTAAGGATGAATACCTCCCTAGAACCACACTAGGGATGAAAAACACCTTCTTTGCCACCAATACACAAAGAATGAATGTAATAATAAAAATAAGAACAGTCACACATGGTAATGGAGACAACAAATTGTAGAAACATGTAGAATACCAATCTCCAAGAACACGTGTGATTAACAATGAAAGCATAGAAGACAATAGAGAATAGGATTTTCTTAAAAGGTGTAAAATATCTCTGTTGCCTTGTTCAAAATTCTTTTCTCAAACCTGATTAAATGTAAATTGTATTTTCGAATTCTGTAATTGTGTGTTTTTTTATTTTTCATCAAAACTTAATTAAATAGAAAAATAACATCAAAAAATGGTCGTTGAACATTAATATTTTTGTGAATAAAAATCAGGATATATTAAAAAATATTTATTCTTCAAAATAGATATATTTTTTAAATTTGAATGGTCATAATTGATTATCTTACCAAGTATAATCAATTATGACAGAGAAAATCATTTTTCCATTTCGATGCATCATAATTGATTATCACAGACTTTGGAGGTTTATGCATAATATTACTTTATCAACTTGTACCTTCATATCCAGTATTCTAAGACTCTATAGTATTCAGGAATCATCTTGGGTTTGCTTGAATCATCATCTTTATCAAAAACATATCTTGGGCATGTAGGAAAATGTTTCACATTGTCACCAACGTCATAAATTCAGCTTGTCCTTAATTCATCTTGAATGGTGTTGACTTGAATCATCATCAAAATCATCTCTTAGGAATGTAGGGACATTTCCATCAATCTCCTCCTTTTTTATGATGATCAAGGAAACACCTGAAATGAATTAAAATGCTTGACTCTATATAGCCAACTCAAGATTAGCACAAATTTATATCAAGTGTCAGAGTCTCTTAATCTCCCCTTGGATATATTAATAACAAGACTCCCCTTAACTCATATGAGCAAAGACTTCTCTTAACTTCCCTTGTTTAATTTAGAGATAGGAAATAATTTCACACAGATTTTAATTCATCAAAAAATCTCCCCCTATTTCATTGATAATCATAAAAAATATTATAAGAAAAAAAAATCTCCCCCTGTTTTACACAGATTAATATCATCAAAATATCTCCTTGTTTCATTGATAATTATGAAAAATATTGTAATAGAAACTGAGAACAAATTTGCACATATTAGTACATAAATCAAGGTAGAGAAGATAATGCATTACAAAGTGTTATAGAGAAGAATATCATATTAAGGAGACAATATCTAGGATACCCAAGACAAATGAAGAGAGAGAAAGATAAGGGAATATAATGATTATAGAGATAATGAAATGAAATGCAGTAGTTTCCCTCAATTGCAATCTTCTTATTTAGGCAGTTTTCAAATTCAAATGCACTCATATTCCAGATTTCAAATTTCAAATTCAAACTGCAACAAATTTCAAATTCAAATTCCAAATTTCAAATTCAAATTTCTAATCCCAAATTTCAAATTCAAATTTCAAATTCCAATTCAAAAGTATGATTAACAATGAAAGCACAAAAGACAAGTAGAGAAGAAGGTTTTTTCAAAAGGTGTAAAATATCTTTGTTGCCTTGCTCATAATTCTTTTCTCAAAACTGATTGAATGTAATTTGTATTTTCGAATTCTATAATTGTGTGTTTTTTATTTTTCATCAAAACTTAATTAAATAGAAAAATAACATCAGAAAATGGCCGTTGGACATTAATATTTTTGTGAATAAAAATCAGGATATATTAAAAAATATTTATTCATCAAAACAAATATATTTTTCAAATTTGAATTGTCATAATTGATTATGTTACTAGTATAATCAATTATGACAGAGAAAATCATTTTTCCATTTCTCGATGCATCATAATTGATTATGATAGTGAAAAATATCATGTTATGAATTTTATCATACTTGTGATTTGGAGACTTATGCATAATTACTTCATCAACTTGTACCTCCATATCTAGTATTCTTAAACTCTATCTAGTCTTCGAGAATCATCTTGGGCTTGCTTGAATCATCATTTTTATCAAAAACATATCTTGGACATATAAGAAAATGTTTTATATTGTGCCAATGTCATAAATTCAACTTGTTCTTAATTCATCTTGAATGATGTTGACTTGAATCATCATCAAAATCATCTCTTGAAAATGTAGGGACATTTTCATCAAAATAGACAATGTGATATCTCTATTTCTATATTTGAATCATCACATACTATTTAAAAAAAATAAAAAAATGTAGAAATGAAAAAAAAAAAACATTAAAAAAACAAGATCTTACTTCTTTTCCATCTAAATTCAACATTTTATTTACTATTTCATTTAATGATGAAGTATAGCACTAAAAGTTTGTATTGTAAAACTAACAATCTAAGATTATTTTTTACCTAAGATCAGCAAGTGTTGAATAATCCTTGTAGTCTTAATTTTTTTTTATCTACCTTTAAAGCTTATAACAAACCTTAAGAAAATAATATTTTTTTTACAGAATGTACATTGGCTCTATTTACATATAAAGATTCTTTATTAAGAGTTTCTGGTACATCTTATATGGGTTAAGATATATTCTTTGGAAAATATTTACAAATGAGTCAATTATTTCCGAGAATATGATACTACATTCAATAAAAAAACTTAAAGCATTAAGTTGTTAGTTTTTTTCATTTATAAGCTATTCAACTTATACATTTATACTTCATATGAGATTTTAACTCATGCTTAAATTTTCAATAATCTCCTTTTCAAATATGATTCTCTTTCATATTCATACACCTCCTCCTTTAGTGAAAGCATTTAACCATGGGTATTTAGCAGTGACCTTATTTCTATCATAATTTATACAATAAGATTTGTTTGCTTGAAATTCTCGAAAACTTTCAACATAAAAATTTATAATTTAAGATATTTGCGTATCCATTGACAGTGACAAATTCTTGGGTGAAACCCATCCTCATATTCTTTTGATAATGGGTCCAAAACTATAAGAGAATTAAATGGAGAAGAAGAGGACCAAAACTATAAGAGAATTAAATAGAGAAGAAGAGAACTATGCAAAATAAGTAAAAGAAGAAGAATGTGAAGAAAAAGAATGTTTAGAACACACTTCACCTTCTTCTAACAAAATTACAGTTCTTCTTAGTGGACATTTAAAAATAATGTCTATACCACCAAGGGGAAATTTATTGAAATTTTAAATTTATTATAATTTTAATTTTAGCTATACATAACTATTTCATCATAATTTACAAAACAATTTTAACTGATATATAATTTAAACAAGTATTTAGTTATTATTAATTGTAAACATTTTGACATAATGATAAAAGTAATAAATAGTTATCAACATCCATAACTAATTTTTTGAACCGTGCAGGGTTGATGCAAAATTTTGGCTTGAACAAAGCCACAGGATATGACGGTGATAGTGAAGCTGAAATAGGAAAAAGCGTAGGAAGGTATCTCCTACCATACTTTATGATACGGTTTCTATTTGGTGTGGTTATTTTTGTTATGTTGTTGATCTATAAATGGGGAAGAAGACACAAATCAAAGTATGAAAATATTGAATCTTTTCTAGAAGGAAACACCCTCATGCCAATAAGATACTCCTACAAAGAAATAAAGCACATGACTAAGGGTTTTAAGGAAAAGCTAGGCCAAGGAGGATTTGGTTTGGTATACAAAGGAAAGTTGCGTAGTGGGTTATTTGTTGCAATAAAGATGTTGAGTAAATCAAAGTCTAATGGCCAAGATTTCATCAGTGAAGTTGCTACCATTGGAAGAATACATCATACAAATGTGGTACGACTTATTGGATTTTGTGTTGAATCATCACATCGTGCTCTTGTTTATGAGTTTATGGCTAATGGTTCTCTCGATAAATATATTTTCTCCAAACAAGATAGTATCTCTTTGACTTACAGACAAATATACGATATTTCTCTTGGAGTGGCTCGTGGTATTGCTTATTTGCATCAGGGATGTGACATGCAAATTCTGCATTTTGATATCAAGCCACATAACATTCTTCTTGATGAGAACTTTATCCCAAAGGTTTCAGACTTTGGCTTGGCAAGACTTTATCCTATAAACAAAAGCATTATCACTTTGACTGCAGCAAGGGGAACAATTGGTTACATGGCTCCAGAGTTATTTTACCATAATATTGGGGGAGTATCATATAAGGCAGATGTTTATAGTTTTGGAATGCTTTTGATGGAAATGGCAAATAAAAGAAGAATTTTTAACACACATGTAGATCATTCAAGTGAACTTTTTTTCCCTCTTTGGATATATGATCAATTGAGAGGAGAAAATGAGAAAGAAATGGAAAATGTTACCAAGCAGGAGTATAATGACGAGGCAAAGAAGATGTTTTTAGTAGCATTATGGTGTATACAGTTAAAACCAAGTAATCGTCCTTCAATGAACAAGATAATGGAGATGTTGGAAGGAGAAATTGAGAACATTGAAATGCCTCCAAAACCTTCCTTATATCCAGATGAAATGATTTATGAAATGATTTAAAAGTATCTTGTTTATTTATATGATGTAAGATATTTCTTTTAATTTATTTACATTTATTGGATTACGGAGTTCCCACATTTTTAGCTTAATCATACACCTTACATTTATATTGTTAAAATATAATATAATCTCCCTACAATTACGTGACGCATTTTGTAATTGCATATTAAATAGCTAAAATTTTAAATAAATTTTCTCCAATTCCATAATGCATTCAACAACTGGCTGAATAGCGTGGTCAAGATTATGGTACTTACGAATTTTTGGAATTGCGATAAACACACCGTGTAAGAAAATAGCATGAATTAGATCAACCCTATAAAAATAAAAAAATATTAAACATTTGTTGATGTAGAAGAAATAAGTCAATAAAATTTTATTTTTAGAAATTTATAGTTACTGTTTCTAATATATTCCTTATAAGAAGAAGACCATTAGCAAATCTAATTCACATTTATTCATAATATTAAAAAAAATTACGAGTGTCTGATAAAATTTGATAAAAAAAAGACATAATATTAAAATTTTAAACAAATTCATCCATTGTCAGAGCTACAGTGGTGTGGAAAATAGTTTTGATATAAATGGTGTGGGAAAAGAAAAAGGAGAATGTGAACATGGAGAAAGTTAAGGGCAAGTGGGGTGGGGGGAAATCGATTCAGGGAGAGATGCTTTTTAATTCAAAATGCGAGGCAATGATTCAGAGCAAGAAGGGAGAACATTTTTCATCACATGGTGAAGGATGGAAAACGAACGTTTTTTTGCTCTGCAAGCACTCTCGTGTCAATATTGGCTACAATTCTTCTCCTATTCCAACCAGATTACTGCATCGCTAAGCGACAACCACCATGTACACCTTCATCATGCGGCCAAATCGGCCACATAGCATACCCATTTCGCCTCAAAGATGACCCAAGCCACTGTGGCGACCCAAGGTACGAGTTAGAGTGCGTGAACAACGCCACACTCTTAACTCTGTTCTCGGGAAAATACCGTGTGCATGATATCGACTACAAGGGATACAAAATCCAGGTTAGTGACCCGGGTGAAGAGGAGGAGGATGGTAACTGCTCCTTCATCCCTCGCAATTACTTAACGGAGGCTTATTTCAGGCCCACGGGCCTGGTTGGCCCAGATGATTTCGGAGCACAGCCGTTCATTTGGAACCCCTCGTATACTTTCAGAATAGGATACTTCAACTGCGCCAATCCTGTGAGTGACGATCCACGATATGTTAAGGTGGAGAGAAGTGGATGTGGCAGCGGAGGGCACGTGTATGCTTTTCTTGAACCGTCGTTGTTTACCTGTTGGGTGAAGGACATCAAGGTTGGGTGCGATTTAATGGTGGCTACGGTGGTTGATTGGGCGGAGAGGGAGAATGTTACCTACGATGTGATCCATCGCAGCATAAGTGAGGGAATTGAGTTGTCGTGGTTGCCTGTTATTTGCGAAGATCGATGTGGAAAAGGGACCGAGTGTACGGTTGTCGATAAATCCAACGGAGAAGTCCAGTGTGAGAAGCATTACTGTCATTACGCCTACCACACCACTGATAAGTGCAGTATGAACAACTTTCTCTATCCTTAAGCTTTAATACACATTTTCTGCTGTTAACCTATTTTTATATCTATCATGTTTCAATAACCCGATCTTGATATTATTCTTTCTCCATCCATCAACCAAAATTAATATTTTAAAATTTTCTGAAAGATTTTTGGAAAAATTGCATATAAAAAAATCTTTTTCCTTTTATATCACAATTTCACCTAAGCAGTATCATTGTGAGTTTTAATTTGTAATCTTGCAAACTAATTTAAATAGGTTTGGTTCTTATCAAACATTTGAAAACATTTTATTTGCTCCATTTCATTTCCAAAATTTCATATTAACTTAACACTGTTTTGTTTTCCGGTGTTTCAGAAATTTGGCAAAAGATTTTTGGCTATACTCGAGGTAAGTATCTTTTATTCCTTTTTCATATTTGTATTTTGTTCCTTTTTCTAATTCTTTGGTATTTAATAAGTATTTATTAGATTATTCGTCAAAGAAATTCTATGTTAGACTTTAGCAATTCAAATTTTATAAATAGTATTTTGGTATTTGTAGTTAACAGTATAGCCTATGTATCTATATATATGGAATTGACAAAGGGTCGCTCTAGTGGTTAGAAGATTCAGGCCAATTATATTAGGATATTAAATATTTTTAGGGAGAAGATTTGAAAAATGAAATTAGTTTTTTCATAAACTTAAATTAGGTTAAGTTAATTAGTGAAAACTCTCTTATATTAGTTTCTTTAAAAGATTATTTTAGTTTATGAATAAATTAATTTTTATTTATTCTTAATTCCTTCTCTTTTTAGTAATAATGGAAAAATTTACTTATACATACCCTAAATCATACATTTAAACCTTATTACCACCTGTATCAGCAAAAGGCATGCCATAATTTTGAAGGTAAATATTGTCGTTTTTCACATTTATACTTAGATTGGATACAGATCTAAGACGATGTGGTCAATAAAATTGGTATTTGTTTATTTTTATGATTATTTCATGGTTTTTATCAAGAGAAACATTTTGTAACTTAATTACACTTGAATTTGATATACTTAGGATTATATTTTAGTATTTATCTTTCCCAATTCTAATACTCAGCTCTTATGTTTTTTCTGAAGTTATTTTTAAATTACGTGTGCCGTTTTTTGAATTGACATGATCTTTTATTCTTTTATATTTTTGTTTTGCAGCGTATCTTAGAGGCGTTATTTTTGGTAAGATCCTTCTCTCCGTTTCCTAAAAATGAATTCACATCATATAACAATTTTCTTTAGTTTATGTTGAGCGAAATTATGAATCAGACCGAAGCATGTTGCTAATTCTTACTCATAGGGTGATATCTGTGTAGGAATAGGTAGCAGAATAACATTCAGCACGAAACAATTGGACAACCCAGTTGGACTGCAATATTTCGATGGAGGAATATTCATAGGACGAACTGTTATACCAATAGTTTTGGCTGCCAGATATCTGTTAGGAGTTGTACTTATTCTTGTGTTATTGATCTACAAATGGAGCCGAAGACATTTTTCAATATATGAAAATATTGAAAATTTCTTGCTAGATAGCCATCTAAATCCCGTTAGGTATGAATACAAAGAAATCAAAAAAATGACAGGAGGTTTCAAAGTGAAATTGGGTCAAGGAGGCTTTGGTGCTGTATATAAAGGAAAACTCCGAAGTGGATTGGATGTAGCAGTAAAGATGTTGAGCAAATCGAATGATAATGGACAAGATTTTATCAATGAAGTAGCTACCATTGGGACAATACATCATGTAAATGTGGTGCGTCTTATTGGATATTGTGTTGATAGAAAAAAGCGTGCTCTAGTTTACGAATATATGTCTAATGGGTCATTGGATAAATACATTTTCTCCAACGAAAAAGGAACCCCTTTAAGCTACGAGAAAATATACGAAATATCTCTCGGAATAGCTGATGGGATTGCATATTTGCATCAAGGTTGTGATATGCAAATTCTGCATTTTGATATCAAGCCTCATAATATTCTTTTAGATGCCAACTTTGTTCCAAAGGTTTCAGATTTTGGACTTGCAAAGCTACATGCTGTAGATGAGGGCGTTGTTAATATGACTGCAGCGAGAGGAACATTGGGTTATATGGCTCCCGAGTTGTTTTACAAAAATATGGGTGGGGTAACTTATAAAGCTGATGTATATAGTTTTGGAATGCTTTTAATGGAAATGGCAAGTAGGAGGAGGAACTCAAATCCTCATGCAGAACATTCAAGTCAGCATTACTTTCCCTTTTGGATTTATGATCAATTTAAAGAAGAGAAAAATATTAATATGGAAGATGCTTCAGAAGAAGACAATATTCTAGCTAAAAAGATGTTTCTGGTTGCCCTATGGTGTATTCAGTTAAATCCCAGAGATCGTCCTTCGATGAATAAGGTAATGGAGATGCTTGAAGGGAAGATTGAAAGCCTTGAATTGCCTCCAAGGCCTTCCTTTTATAAAAATGAAACATACAGACATGATGATGTTATCTCTGACGAAGCTTCATTCACTAATTCCACTTATTCTGATAGTTAACTCGGTGAAAGAATAACCAGTGATTCACCAGAGAATATTGACAAAGACGTAAGTTATCTAACTCAAATTAAGTGTAATGTTGATGAGACTATTGGATTAATGTCAAAGGTTGGTCCTTGGATAAATGATAAATTCATTTTTGGTAATAGTTATTCGTTGGTGTAGACTATTATGGCCTTCCAAGACTTTTATGTAGTAAATAAGTGTGATATCGGTGCAATTTTTCTTATGTTCTTGTTTTTATTATACTTTGCTCCTCAGCTATAAATTAACATAATTCATTTCGAAGGTTAAGTTCAATAGGTTTAGATTTATGTATCTGTTTTTTTATCCACACAAAAAACATAGAAGGATTAACGTACGGTCAAAATATAAGTACTTAATATATTAACATTGAAATAAAAATTAATATTACTGGAAAACGTGAAGTGATGCACGTAATTGATTCGGTGAATGGAGAAACAAACAAACCTTTCAGCGGAATCGACCCAGAAACAGTCCAATGTTGGAAAAAAATGTCAACGATCATTTTGAAAGGTCATGATCTTTTATTAGTTTGACACGAAACGAGATTGATCAATTCCAAAATTGAAAAATTTGTCCAGCTTTATTGAAGAATTATTGAAGTGTAACCTCTCAACTTGAAGGAACAGAGTTAACAATGAGTCTCCTATTTTCTTCCTGCTCCAGTTCTCAGTCAAAGCTGGCCTCTGTGACTATCATTCTTGTGCTATTCCAACAAGCTTGCTTTGCCAAGCATCATCCATCATGTACTGCTTCTTCATGCGGCAAAATTCGCAACATAACATATCCATTTCGACTGAAAGGCGACCCAGAAGGTTGCGGCCTCCCAAGTTACGAACTAGATTGCGTGAACAACGTGACAGAGTTAACTCTGTTTTCAGGGAAATACTACGTGCATGATATCGATTACAAGAGGTACCTGATCCAATTGACTGATGCGGGTGTTGTGGATGACACTGCTTGCTCCATTCCTCGCTATTTCTTATCTTCAAGGAATTTCACTTACGTTGTTGGTCCTGACTATACTACACCAGATCCGCTGACTTTGTGGCATAACGATTGGAACTTATTACGGTTTGAAATGGTTGGGGTCTTGAACTGTACTAATCCAGTGACTGATGACCCTCGATATGTGGAAGTGGATTCGGGTTGTGATTCGGGAGGGCATATCTACATGGTTTTCTCTTCTTTTCGGATGGAGGATATTAAGATCGGGTGCTATCTGAAGGTAGCCACCTTTGCAAATAAAACCCTTTCTTATAACAGGAACGTTTCCTATGCTGATATCCACAAGAGCCTTGTCGAGGGGTTTTCTTTGTCTTGGGTGCTCCCTGTTACTTGCAAGGATCGTTGCAGAAAAGGTATCAGATGCATTTTCAATGAAACCTCAGAAGAAGTTGAATGTGATCCCCAACGTTACTGCCACTACGTCTATCGTACCACCACCAAGTGCGGTGCGACTTCTTCTGTGCATATTTTCCATTAAATTAATAATCATCATTATTTCCATGCATACCACTTTTCTCTTATCTGCATGTTTCCATGATGTTGTAGACAAATACTGAATAAGCTTATCTTTTCTTTTCGGTGCTGTAGGAATTACCTCAAAGATTCTTGTAAATACACTAGGTAAGGTTTTGCCTTCTGATCCTTGTTATTTCTTTCCTGCTGCTATTTTTTTTCTTCTTTTAACATTGAAATGCTGAGTTAAATTTTATGATTTTAATTTAAGTTCAATTATATTTAAAGCATCTTATCATAAATAGATATTTACTAACTTAGTCTTCTGTCTTTTGCAGGCTTTCTCAAAGGCATTATTATTGGTAATGCATTTTATCTATTATTCTATTTGAAATTTTTTATTTACGTCAAAGCAATTGTGAGCTTACTTCATTTTTGAACAAAATGATTGATTAGACAAAAGCATGTTTCCCACAGGACTATTGAGTAGGTTGACATTTAGTACGAAACAATTAAACCAACCAGTTTCCCAACAATATTTCGATGGAGCCGTATACATAGGGCGTAATATTGTGTCAGCATTCATTGCAGCCAGATATCTATTTGGTGTTGCACTTCTGCTTGGGTTATTCATATACAAGTGGCAACGAAGACATTTATCAATGTATGAAAACATAGAAAATTTTTTGGTGGACAACCATCTAAATCCCATTAGGTATGAATACAGAGAAATCAAGAAAATGACTGGAGGTTTCAAAGTGAAATTGGGTCAAGGAGGTTTCGGTTCAGTATATAAGGGGAAACTTCGAAGTGGACCAGATGTAGCAGTAAAGATGTTGAACAAATCCAAAGCTAATGGACAAGATTTTATTAATGAAGTGGCTACTATTGGAAGAATACATCACACTAATGTGGTACGTCTTATTGGATATTGTGTTGAAGGAAAAAAACGTGCTTTAGTTTATGAATACATGCCTAATGGTTCATTGGACAAATACATTTTCTCTAAAGAAGGAAGTTTCCCTTTAAGCTATGCACAAGCATATGAAATATCACTTGGCATAGCTCTTGGGATTTCTTATTTGCACCAAGGTTGTGATGTACAAATTTTACATTTTGATATCAAGCCTCATAATATTCTTCTGGATGATAGATTTATCCCGAAGGTTTCAGATTTTGGACTTGCAAAGCTATATCCCGTAGATGATAGTATTGTTACTTTGACAGATGCAAGAGGAACTTTAGGCTACATGGCTCCAGAATTGTTTTACAAAAATGTTGGAGGAGTATCTTTTAAGGCAGATATCTATAGCTTTGGTATGCTTTTGATGGAAATGACAAGTAGGAGGAAGAACTCAAATCCTCATGCAGAACATTCAAGCCAAAATTATTTTCCTTTATGGATCTATGATCAATTTAAAGAAGAAAAAGATATAGAGATGGACGATTTTTCAAAGGATGAAAAGTGTATAGCAAAAAAGATGTTTTTAGTTGCACTTTGGTGTATTCAATTGAAACCGATGGATCGTCCCTCGATGAATAAGGTAATAGAGATGCTTGAAGGGGAAACTGAAAACCTTATAATGCCTTCAAGGCCATCTTTTTATCCAAATGAAATTTCTGAAATGGGTGTCTCAGTCAATTCTAACCAGACATCGTGGAATGATTCTACTGACTCAGATACCTATCTTGGTGAAACCACAAACAGTTTGTGCCCAACATAATCTACCTCAAATTAAGTTTCTCAATGATGCATTCTTAATGTTGCTAAAAACTATTGGATTAATGCCATGTATTGTTCGTTGCTTATTTGGTTGTTGTTGTAGTTAGAAATCAAGTTAACTACTTGATGTTATTTCCTAACACTATCTAGTGCTAAAGAAATGTGTTTTTGCTACAAATCTTTGGAATACAACACTCTTCATTATCATTGTTTTATCCTTTTTCTCTTGCAAGTGTAATTTATTTTACATACTATATACGTTTTACTCAAATTTCAATGCATCTAAAGGATCTACTAACACATCATGATGGAGTCAAATTCAAACAGTTTATTATGTCAATGATAAAATAGTTAGATGTAGTTTTAAAATATACGAAAGACATAAAAATGCAATTTATCTCTAATAGATTTTATGGTAAATATTTTATTTTATTAGTAATTTTGAAAGGGCAACTTCATTTCCCTTAACATTTCAAGCAGTTTTTCTCCTCATGCACAAGTAAAAATGGTAGTACAATTCGATAGTGCAAACGGCAAAACAATGTCCAAGAATCCTTCCTGAATAAGCATAACCAAGGGCACACAATGTCCTAATAATGAACTAAATTATTATGAAAAGAAGGCCTTCGTTATTCCATATGAAGGGATTACTATTGTGGTTGTCGTCATTTAAGATAAAATTGTCGAGTCGTGTCCTTATTTAAGTTTTTTGTTTTTTTATTTCTATATATCCCAGAATATCAGGATAAAATTCCCCACTTTTTCAGATTTCCACGTGCCAAGATAATTTTGTGGGACTAACATCACGAATCTTTCTTGTATATTGTTGAACTTTGGATTTTAACTCACTCCAACGCCAGTCCATATAGAAATGTTCGTTCAAATAAAGAATTGACCCTTGACACAGGTTGCACCGGTCAAAAATTTCCAAAAATACATCGATGGTTGTTTTATGATCCACCACTCATTTGATCCCTTACTCAAGGATATTTTTGCCTTGCAACCCATGTACTATGTCCATGATGGATCACTCTTCATATTTTGTAATTCTTGAAACTAAAGTATGAAAAGTACTCCCCTTCAAAAACATTCAACATTATTGCTCATTTTTCTGCCAGCTACCACTCTTATCTTGCCAATATCAATACTTTCATAGAGTCAGTATGTCCTAAGATCTTCTAATAAAATTCTTTAGGCATTTGTCAACAATCATCTTGATCTGGCTAGCAATGGATTCATACCAACAAATTTGAATGAGGTGATAGGGTATATGGATTTGAATGTTGAAATTCTATTGTTACTGGTACTTGTCTTCTTTGCCATCAAACAAAACCCTTACAGTTGCAACAAATTCAGCAGGATTCGTCACAAAGAAATGGTAAAATATGCATTGGCTGAGAATGACTTCAATTAGGCCAGAGGGATCATTGACATCCATTATTAAGTGTACTTCAGCTTATTTTAACACAATTAGAACAAGTGGAAGTAGAAAAAGAAAGCATTTTGTGTTGCAAGTCAATCATCCCTGTTAGACTATCATCTATTTGGACAAGAACTCAACTAAAATTCCATCGGTATAACAGCAGAAACATAACGTAAGAAACAATAAACAAGCAAATTAATAACCTTACAAAGGTAACAGGTTTACATGTGTTACAACTTCTTTAAGTACAAATGACATATGATGAAAGCCTAAAAGTGAGTGTTTGTCTACTCTTCCATTTCATGAATAATTTCCAACTCGAAATTCTGGTGTCTTGTTGGAACAACTGCATTTGTTCTTGAAGAACCGGTCTTTTTATCAAAAGGAGTAGGGGGTGCAATTAACTTGTCTCCATCTCCTTCAAGCATCTGTACCACAGTTTTCATGGATGGACGATCCACTGGGTTCCACTGAATACACCAAAGTCCTACAATGGCAAGTTTCCTGGCAATTTTAACATCTACCTCCTCCTCAATTGTAACTTGCACGTCTCTGGCTTCCAGCAAATTATGGATCCATTCAGGGTACAGAACTTGGAAACTTTCCTCAGCTGACATACTTGTATTTTTTCTTCCTCCCACCATCTCCAGGAGCAACATTCCGTAACTGTAAATGTCAGACTTATAAGATACATTCCCAAAGTTTCTTGAGAAAACTTCAGGGGCAATGTAGCCTAAGGTTCCCCTGGCTGCAGTCATAGACACGGTACTTTGATTTTTAGGACACAATTTAGCAAGTCCAAAATCAGTGATTTTTGGATTGAAGTGATCATCCATTAAAACATTGTGAGGATTGATGTCAAAGTGAAGTATTCTATGATCACAGCCAAGGTGGAGATACTCAATCCCTCTGGCAACACCAAGAGCAATTTGCTGCAACTTTTCCCAGCCAATGAAAACATCCTTGTTGTCGGGTGGAGCCAAGAATCTCTGCAGTGACCCATTTGGGAAGAAATCATAGACCAGAGCACGGTGGAATCCATCCGCACAGAATCCAAGCAAGCGAACAACATTAACATGATGAATTTTGCCCATGGTTCCGACTTCGTTTATGAAGTCCTTTCCATCTCCAACTGTGTCGTTGAGTATCTTCACAGCAACGAGAATCTCTCGGGAGAGCATTCCCTTGAACACTGCTCCATGAGCTCCTTCTCCTAAACTTTCACTAAACCCCTTTGTGATTCTCTTTACGTCAGCGTAAGTGAATCTGGTAGGCTTCATTGCCCTGTAATCCTCCAAGAATTTCTCTATCCGAGCTTGGTCTTCTCCTTTCATCTTATAATGGTCATATACATAAAACAAAGCCTTGACGAGTAGTAACACAAGAATGAAACCAACTATTCCCCCTGTTAATGTTTCTCATGTTAGACAAATTATAAACAACAAAAACAGAGAAAAAAAAAAGGGCAAACAAGAATACGCCACATACCTGCAACAATAAGTACAATAGTTGACGTCTGAATCCCGTTTGTTGGGCAAACGAAACATTCAATTTCACTCTGGGTACCATTCTTGTATTTACATTTACTTCCTTGTGCTTCACAGGAACTGCAATCGGGGTTGGTCCATTCCACAACCACGGTGCTCTTCAAATCATTCTGTACTAGCCACTGGACGGAGAAAACTTCACTCACCTTTGTGCAGGATATTATGACAGGATCAATAAAGTCTGCATAAGCACCAAGTTCCAAAATTGGGCATGACTTTGAGTTGCAGCGGAAGAAGGAAACATTTCGGTCCGTAGAAGATTGGAATTTAAATGGAGCAATAGAGGAATTTCCAAGCTTTATGAGTTCCCTGGTAATGCAATTTTGAGGGTCAGAGAGTTGGATTTGCTGTGACTTGTAATCTATGTTTTCGACGAACAATTTTATTGGAATAGAAGTGAGCTCAATCACGGTCTCATGTGCGTCCGTACACAACAGATCGAACCCACGAGGATAATCCGTGGTGTGATTCAACTTGCTGTTTCTGAGGTAAAATGGGAATTGAATGTGAACGCGTCCACACTTTTCCGTGCACCCATTTTTGCATATCGCAGGCTTCCATAGAAGAAGCAACACCGTGAACAGAAGAGAGAGATTTTGAAAATTTAGCATTGTGGGGTCGTAGAAAATTCAGAGAAGTTTTGCATCACTAAGCTTATCTTTAAACTGTGTGCAACTGCGATTCCGCGTTTGAAGACTTTGGTGCGTTCACAGGATATGTGCAATTTACATAAAATATGGTTTTCTTTGCTTTCTTTTTGTGAAGCTTCAAACACCCTTCTAAAATAGTGACTAATGTATTAATAAATTTTTTGGTCTCTAAAATTTATATCAAAATTTATTTTAGTTTCCTAAATTAAAAGTTATTTTTTAATCTCTTGAATGTATTATCCACATTTAAAGTTCTTTAAATTTTAAAATATTTATTTAGTTCCTAAATTTTGAAATTGATTTTTAAGTCTTTTGAAATAGTTTATTTTAGTTTTTAAAATTATTGAGTAATTATTACTATGAGCACAATGAAGTAATCTCTTTTTATATTTTACCTTTTTATTATTTGTAACATTATAATGAAGTTTTGATTTAAATTTTAATTTTTGAAATTAATGTATGCAATGTATGAATGTCACCTCAAAAGTTTCTAGGATTTGAAAATCATGGCCAAATTTATCTTAAAATATTAACTGATAATTTAAAGCTTGAAAATTTAAAATTTGTGATAAATCTATCTTTAAAATTATTAGAAAATATATTGTCGATCACTTTATCTATACAATACAAAATGGTTACCATAAATACTATTTTAATTCATCCTTTAGTTTTATTTTTAAAAGGAGCCAAATAATATACAAATTTCACATTCAATTGTTAATTCATAATGACGAATCAACTTGAATTATAATTGAGATCAGTTCCTGTTACCTATTCATATTTTATATTTGAATTTATTTGTTGGATATAAAATTCTTAATAAATAATAATAAGAAAATAATATTTAAATTTAAGGATTTTTAGATTTGAACATCTAAAAAAATTATGGTGAGATTAATTTTTTTTTTCAATTTGAAGGAAAAAAATTAACTTTAACTTTAAGTAAAAAATAAAGGAAAATTAAAAAATTAACTTTGTGAACGGAAAAATAGGGAAATTATAATAGGAAGTGAAACCATTTGTATTTTATTTTATTTTTAATTTTATTTTAAGTAGGGATGACAAAACGGTCACCGCAGCTGTTGGCCCGCCCCACCTTTGGCCTCGCCAAAAGTAGGTGGGGCAGTGGTGACCGTTATAGTCATGACGGTCTGTAGACCTTGCCTCGCTTCCGTCAAGTGGCTGGTTGACCCGCCATAATTTAGAAAAAAATAATTTATTTTTTAAAATCAAAATTTTCAATAAATTTAATAATAAGATTATTATTTGTTTGTCAATAATTTAATATATATATATATATTATTTCAATTTAATAATATAAATCAATACATTATTTTAAGAAATTATAATTTAGAACAATAATAAAATTTACATAATAATA